AATATCGGGTGTCACTCGGATTTTTTTTAAATGTACTTCTGCAGAGTGAATGGGTTTTACCATTTTGAAAAAATGCTCAAAGGCTGGAAATGAGCGGAAAATAGTGACCAAGGAACAAAAGAACAAAGTCTGCTTTCTGTTATGAAAACTGATCCGATGAGCCCAGTACTAAAAGTCAATGTGTGTGTGAAGCCGATGCTCACCGTTGCCCTGCAATCCCTGGATTTTAACATCAACAATCGACTTTAGGGAGCGGTCTCAGACATACCCTGGGACAAGTGACGGGTGCTACTTAACAGAGGAGGCCTCAAAGGAGCGTGAGCACAATGCTACTTGGAGGAAGGATGTGCGGCTGAGTGTGAGAAACACTCCCCCAAACACACACGCACTTCGGCTGAGTGTGAGAAACTCGCTGGCCAGAGCCGAGGCTTTGCAGCGTGGCATCAGAAAGAGGAGCGTGCTTCGCTTGTCTGCTCTCTCCTTCCATTAGCGAGGTGGGCTTCTAAACCAACTCAGAACGCCTCCTCTGGACTCTTCAGAAGCTGGAAACAAAATACATGGAAAGCTGCCGAGACTGGAGTGGCATCTTCCCTATTTTGTTCACCTAAGTGTTTTCCCTCACCCTCAAAGACTTTCCTCCTCAATGCATTTTATTTTATATCCCTTCAGTTTCATTCCCAGGCATCCTTTATTTGCATTAAACGTTTTGTTTTGCATGTTTTTCATGCTGTACGAAGAGAGTTGTAATTTTCAGCAGCACTAGTCCACCAAAGGGTGGAAGTTTATTCATTTTTCTTTGGCACCCTCGACCTTGTAAGCGTCAGCCTATTGCCTATACATATATCTTTTCATAATGACCTGTATTTGAAGGGTGGTATCATCTGATCACTTTAATAAATATAAGACTTTAGGTGCCCGGTAGAGACCATAGAGTTAAAACAACGGAAGGAGATCTTGAATGGGGGCAAATGAAGAAACATGCTAATCACAGTGTGGCACCAGGGTAAAATGATTTTTTTTTTTAAAGACTGTCCCAATTATAATAGTTAAGCAGAGCCGAATGGGTAAACGCCGTTGTTTGGAGATAAAGTTGGTGCTAAAATTTGCTGATCTTCCTTTCTTTTTTGCGCGAAATTTTCAAGAGCCTTACAAAGTAAACTCCCCAGGAAGCAAGCTGTCTCAGGTTAGTATTTCATTCCTGTTTGATTAACATTAACGTTGTGTTGATGCCTTCTGCTTGGCTGCCGCAGCATTCAGAGCTGGAAGGGTCTGGTTGTATTAGCGGGGCGAATTCTCCTATTCCTCTTTAGATAGGAATGTGCAAAAGGTTGGCTCACGAACAAGTGGATATTGCCAGGTTTAACCTGGGAGGAATGGGGGATAGGTTGTTAATAGTAAATGAAAAACGCGGAGTCTCGAGTGGATCTTTAAAAGGGGGGAAATATGGCCGTTTCCAGCTCCGGGATTTTCACGTTAGACCTTTGCCTAGTGACTAGCTTCATTTCGACCCTGAATCATTTATTTCAGTTCATTCAATCCTTCCGTACTGCTGTCTAATTACGGAGAGGAACTGTGTCCTGTGGAAGGAGGGATTGCTCTATTAGGAGTTAACGAACGCATCAGAGCAAACATTTTACATCGAGTTTCAACAAGTAATCAGATCCTCAGACGAGCCAGGAATTGGGCTCAGTAGAAATGGCTTGCGATAAATCAGTTTTACGCAATAACTGCTTTTCTCCCAGCAGGGACATGATGGGCTCAGAGCTGTGTTTCTGATTGCTCCACGGCAAGACCATGGCAGTACAGTGTCAGAGAGTTTGGGAAGGGAGCTGTGAAGGAGGGATCTGATTTCTGGGGGGAGAGGAAACAACAAACAGTAATGGAAGGGATAGTGCTGGACAGAGAAGGAGAGCCACTCCTGGGAAATCAGTCTTCTTGGTAAAGGGACCAAGCAGGCAGATTTGCGGTGAGTGCCAGTAATCGCTGAGGTAGATTTAGGGTTAGGGCAGAAGGAATCTAAGGCCTTTCTTCGACCTGGGGAGAAAAGAATCTACATTGGAGGGTGAAATCCTGGCCCCACTGAATTCAACAGGAATTTTGCCACTGAATTCTACTCAGCCGGGTTTCCACCCAAGCCTTTCCCAGTAGGGCTGGGAAGAGGGAGTTAGAGTTGACGGGAATCATTGCTACGGAAAGAGAACTGGCCTGAGGATACTGTTCCTGAGCGGAAGAGGGCGCTAAATCCTTCTCTCCGGGAAAGGGTGGGATTTAAGGCCCTGCTGGGCAAACTCCACTCGCGAGCAGTCCCAACAAAAACTACTCACCGAGTTTGCAGGATCGGGTCCTTGCTTTATAAATCCGGGATAAAGAGTTGCTTGACCGCGCCCTAGCGGTCTGGGGAAACGCTGATACGACTGTGATGAATGAAAGTAGGAGACAAGAAAGAAGGTAGCCAGCGGAAAGTTTCCCTTTTGCGTCGTGCTTTTCGATTTCTAACGGGGGTGTAAACTAAAGGAATAAAACACAGGGCTGTGTACCCATGGTAATTCGGTGTGTCATTTCTATTTAACCTGCAGTTCTAAAAAGTATGCAAACTGTTGTAGAAACATTCGACTATGTCTGCTTATAAGGGCGAGTGTGTGTAAACCAAATTACACTCAATGCGGACTTTTTCAGCAGCGGATATATCAAATCAGAACACACGCAGATTTTGTAACCATTCCACCCAGTCAAGCTTTCTGCAGGGGTTTTCTTTTAGTGCTGTTATTTTACCCCATGGACTAGGCTGGAGGCATGGACGGAACCTGCCCACCCGGCTTGGATGATGTAAACATCTGATGAAGTGAGCTGTAGCTCACGAAAGCTCATGCTCAAATAAATTGGTTAGTCTCTAAGGTGCCACAAGTACTCCTTTTCTTTTTGCGAATACAGACTAACACGGCTGTTCCTCTGAAACCTCTCTTGCAAAGGTGTCCCTCAAACCTCTGTCTGCAACAGCCCTCCCATCTCGTTTGCTTGGATGGTGAGGCTATTGAAACTTGCTCCTGCTGACCAAATCGGTGCAAAGTGTGTCTTGCAGCTGTGAAAGGGAATCCCAAACATTCACATATACATTCTAGATGCTATATTTTTGGGGCTCCCACTGACGTCAATGGGTGCTTTGGGTGAGCGAAGAATGCACAATTGCATCCCTAAATAATAGATTAGGGGCCAAATTCAACTCTCTCTTACAAAGTGCAACCCGCTCTAATATCATTTACATGACGCCGGAGTAACGGTTGGCACAATTTGATTCACGTTCCCAAGGATTCCAGTGTGTGATCTTTAGCAGCTCTGCCCGCATCCCGGACATCACCATCTGGCTCTGAGCCCACTGATATCGAAGGACTAACTTCAGAAGGCTTTGGCTCGAGCCCTGGCAGCCATATATTGCCTAGGAAAAAACGGCCAACGCTGAGAAGGGAAATTTACATTACTTTAGTGATTTGCGTCCGGGAGGCTCAAAACAAAAGGCAGTTTTCTTTCCACACAAAAGAAGTCAGGCCAAAGTCATAGGCACGGTTGTACACAAAGGAAAATGTCATGCACGAGGGGGAAATAACAGTGGAAGAAAGGGGGGGAAAGGCACCACTAAGCCCTTTGTATGTTACATAAAGCGGCTGGATTCGATCTTAATCTAGTCAATACTCGTGTCTCAGTCAACTCTGTGAGGACGATGGCTAGACGTGTCTGTTTATTTTCACTGATTAGAAAAGATGTGGAAATTCCACTGAAGGTTTGAGACCTTCCATAACCGGGGGAAACGGGTGTAGTTCGCCCTTCACGGCTACATCAGGGATACAGGGTCTGTGTGAGCGGCCGCCGGTTCGAAGAGCAGGTACTTCATCAAGGCTGCCAGGGATATAATTCCACGGAGGGGGCTCGCCCTGAAAACCACCTCCCAATTGTATTCCATCTCTGCCACTTTTCCGGGGTCTCTTCCGAACCGCAAGAAGTCCACCATGACACCACAGGCAGCGGGATGTAACTGGATGATGACAGTGACTAGGAGTGGCAATTGGCCGTGTATATTTATATATTCCCAGAAGAACAGTGATTTCAGTATTCCCATTAACTCATTTGCTGAATGAGCCTCGTCTTCCTACCTGGGATTTTTCTATACATTTGTTTTTGTTTTAGTTGTAAAGAATTGATATTGTGCTAACAAGGTTTTAAAGACATGGGTGGTTAGTCTAGTTCATTTTAGCTCCTATCAGAATGCTGTCAGTACAGTACATTTATGGAGACTTAATATTCCTTCTTTTCAGGAAGTATTAAAAGTACTCTCTTATAGGACATAACAGCGCGGCGCCTGGGCTGTATTTCCTATAGTGCCTCAGCATCAGTGGCTTTTTTCAAAATAAGGTACCGTGCACAGAGATCCCAGGCAAAGGCAAACCTAAAACGCATGTGAATTTGGTGCCTTTTAAAAGATGGATTTCCAACTGGCCTCCTAATGGCCATGAATGTTGCAGTCATTCTTGCACAGGCCCACAGAGTGAACAGCAAAATTTAAACCCTCCTTATAGATCTAGTTATATAAATTATCTGTCGCCAGCTATTTGTGAAGATGCTAATTACACCGCTGCCGAAAAGAAAGCTGACACGGAAGGGTCAGCTAAACGGCAGGCATGCTTGTCTACATGTTTTGTCCTTTGAACATGAAACCCAACACATCAGCACAATGTTTCCAAATGATAATCAGATGTTGCTTTCTGGAGCTGTATATCTCCCCACACAGTGGTGCAACACTGCTGTACCTAACCCCTGCTAATTACACTGTGCTCAGAAACAAGGGGGCTATACTAGAAAGTTTAATATACCCTGGATTATTTTTCTTGCCCACTATTTCTAATGGATCATAGATGCCTTTCTCCTTTACAGTAAATAATATTAGCGTTTTAACCCTGTACATAGATAGGTCACTCTTTCTAAATAAGTACTTATCAACGTCCAAGTGCTTTGAAGAAAATAAAGTCATTTATTGTCAAAGCATCCAACATACCCAGATAAACTATAAAGTTGAATAAAATCTTTTTAAGGGAAAAAAAGAAACACATAACTATGCAGACTTAATTTCACTGGCACAAAATTACACTTTGTATTAAAAGGAAATACATATTTACAGAATTGAGGACATTCTGCACTGAAGTCCATAATCATTTCATGATACATGCACTTCCCTCTTGGAAACTTAAATAGAGTCAAGTCCTTTGATTATTTTTTTTTAAAGAACACAAACTGTCATCAAATGCAGAAAGCATTGCATCCTCCTTCCTTTTTTTACTTTATATCTAAAATAAAAATTTACCCTTACATATAATTATTACATCTAAACCATAAGTGCTTAATAATTTAAGTAGAAAGGTATGACAAATGCATCAATATGTTGCAATATATGACATTTTAAAAAATGTACTTTATTAGTTTTAAAGTTTTTTTATTTTTATTTATTTTTTTGGGAAAGTGAAAATGCGTGCATTCGAACAGAAGAAAGAAAGAAAGAAAAAATCCAACCCTTCCCCCGGGTGGTCTGGTATGTTGCAAGGTAAAGGCCCACACTTTCAAAAGCGACTAAGGATTTGGGGTGTTTGTTCAAACAGAAACACCTTCAAGAGGCCTGACTTTCAGAAAGTACTAGGCACTTCTGCCTTCTGAAAATCAAGGGCCAGATAGATCCTCCACTGATGTAAATTATCATAGCTCCATCCAGGACAATGAAGGTTGACCAATTTTGGCAAGTGGGGATCTGACCTTGGCATGTCAGGTGGGTTGCTAAAAAAAACCCACCCCCCCCCCAAAAAAAAACCTGAAGAAGAGCTCTGGGTAAGCTTAGGGTGACCAGATGTCCCCATTTTTTTCGGGCCAGTCCCAATAATCGGGGTTTCTTCCTGTATAGGAGCCTATTCCCCCCCCCCTCCATTTTTCACACTTTCTATCTGGCCACCCTAGGTAAGCTTGTCTCTCTCACCAGCAGCAGCGGGTCCCATCTCTGAAACACCCCAAATCAGCTTGGGAAACGTAGGCCCACTGGGATCCAGACCCCCCCCCCCCCCGTGCCTGCCCAGCGAAGGGCCGAGGAGGGCCAGGGTGCGTTCGGCTCCCGGGAGGGTTGCACTGGGGCGGGGGTGTGGGTGTGTCACTATACACCCGGGGGGCATTCAGTTGTGGGAGGTCATGTGCCGGGAGAGGTGGTGGCGCTCGCGGAAGGACTCGTTGCAGATGGGGCATTTGAGCTTCTCCTCGCGGCGGCGCTTGACCAGCGGCTCCAGGGCGTACTCCCGCTTGTGGTGGGAGCGCATGTGGTAGACCAGGTCGGAGGTCATGCGGAAGGAGGCGTTGCACTTGGCGCACCAGTTCTGGGCCGGCAGGCACAGCGAGGTGAAGGAGGGCGGCAGCAGGGTCAGGGCCGAGGGCAGCTGCAGCTGGAGCGGCCCGGCCGCCGCCGAGCTCTTGGGCCAGAAGGCGGTGGCGTAGAGGAAGGGGCTCTGCTTGGGCGCCCCGCCGGCGCCGGGCAGCTCGGCGGCCAGCGGGTCGGCCGGGTAGAGGCGGGCGGCGGCCTCCGGGCAGGGCTCGCCCAGCTTCTGGGCCAGCCCGAGCGGCGCCACGTGGGGGAAGGCGGAGCGGGCCGGCTGGGAGAAGGCGCTTTTCCGCTCCTCCGCCTTGCCCAGCTGCGGCACCGTGGTGAAGGCGCTGCCCCGCGCCGGGCTGCCCCCGGACAGCGGCCCGCCCGGCCGGGCGCCCAGCAGCGGGTCCCCGGCGCCCGCGGGCGAGGCGCGCTGCGGCGGCGGCGGCGGCTGCTGCTCCGCCGCCGCCTCCTCCTCGCCGCCCTCGGCCTCCAGCCCGCGCGAGGCTTTCTTCACCTCCACGAAGGCGCTGCGCTTGGCCTCGCCCGTCTCCGGGCTGGGCGGCCCGAAGAGGCGGCCGCTCTCCTCCAGGCCGAAGTAGCTGCCCGCCGGCCGGTACTGCTGCTGCGGGGTGCACACCAGGTCCTCCTTGGGGGAGGAGGGCAAGCGGCCCCGGCCGGCCCCCTGGCCCCGCTCCTCGCCCGGCTCCTCCGGGTATTTCCGCTTGGCTTTGCTGCCCGCGCCGGCCGGGGGCGGCGGCGGCGGCGCGGGCGGGCTGCGGCGCGGGGAGCCGCCGCCGCCCCGGGAGTTCTCCAGCTCGCGGGCCAGGTTGTGGAAGTCCGTGGAGGGCTTGGCGTTGCTGTTGCTGTTGCTGTCCTGGGGGCTGGGGTAGTTCGGGTGGAGCGGCCCGCCGGGCTTGCAGTATTTGTTGGCCCCGGGCCCCAGGCTGGCCGCGGGCTCCTTGCCGCTGTCCTTGCCGCGCGGCTCCTCGGGCTCCGAGCTGGGCAGTCGCTTGGGGCAGCGGAACCGCAGGTGGGCCGCGTAGGGGAACTCGAACTGGAAACGCTGGCTGCACTCCAGGCAGGAGAACGGGGGCGACCCTGCACCGGGCAAACACACACACAACACACAACAACCACCGGTTAGTCGCCGCTCCGGGCCGCATCTTTGGGGGACTGGCCGAGAGCGGAGACTGGAGTCCCTTCCGTTCTCTGGGGCAGGGACCGGCTTCTGCTCTGTGTGCGGACAGGGCCTGGCAGCCCCGAGCCATCATTAGGGCCTCTAGGCTCCAGGAAAATAGTCCTATCCTAATTAATGACCCTTTATCCGGGTCACTTTCTGCTTTTGGGCCAGTGGGGTAGAAACGAACAGATTATAGCCCCTAATCTCCTCTTGCATTTCCAGTATGTTTATAAGTGGTGCTCTGGACTACCTAATTAACATCGGTTTAGTCAAGCTAATTTGCTCAGCTCAGTCCCCCACCTCGCCTCTCTCTAACTTTGTTGGCTGCATCTTTCTCACCTGGATCTCCATCACAGGCGTCAAATAGCTTCTTGAAAACCAAACCAAAAAAATAACCCTACCCGGCTCTGTCTGGGAGATGCAGAACCCTGGCCTGGACGCAGCACTTACCGTTCATCTTGCTGTGGGATCTGGCGGTGTTGAGCAACAGTAATTCCGTCAGTTCTTTCCCGTACCAAACTAGTAACTCCTCGTCTTTGGCAATCCTGCGAAGGGACCGATAAAACAATTGTCCATTTTTGATGTAAGCTTCTAGGTTCTGTTCTTCTTTATCTCTGGCTGACTGGACCAGACGGAGCCACATTAGACCTTCGGAGGAGCCATTTGCTGCTGAAGTGTCCACCTAGGTAAGGAAGGGAATGCAAGAAATTAGAGGAGAGCAAGTATTACCACACTCCTCACCCACCACAGATGTTTCACCAGGCTCCGGAAAGGACACACACTAGCACTTGTCGGAAGTGTGCAAGTCTTGAAAAATACACGTGGCTTTTCTGGGCCACGGAATCCTGCCAGCTACTCTTTAAACATTGTAATGGATTTGTGCTAGCTAAGGGCAATGTGAATGCGGCCTGTTCTCCTCCCCCCCCCCCAAACTTTATAAAGGCACAATTACAGGGCCACATCTGCACAAGGTTTATGTGAAGTCAATAATGTAAAGAAATCTTCCAGGATTCCAAATGATTAGGTCTCTCTGCTCTTTTGTGGGTGGGGAAAGATGTACAGAGAGAACAGCAAGATTTGCTAAAAGAGGGAGGTTTGATAAAATCCATTAAAATGTTTTAAAAATTGAAACATCTGTTCGGTCTCTCTTAAATGCAACCATACGCAGCAGCTCTGGAAAGGCATCTACAACCACGATCAACTGATTTTTTTCAAAGGTTTTTGATGCATATGTAAATGACAGCTGATGACGGTTCAGTCCTGCTGGCTTTCATCACAGGAGTAGTCCCTCTGAAGTCAGCGGGGTTACTGGTGTGGGGAAGGCGAGCAGAATTGGTATTAATCAATCGGCACAACCCAGCGATTAAAAAGGCAATTGGAAAACCTTTCCTGAAGTGGAAAATGTTAGTGAATTCAGTCCCCACCCTCCAAAAGTGCATCCTTGTGTCACCGCTGCTCGTTTGCAAAAGCAGAGAGAATTTAGTGCGTTTACATCTTGGAACCAAACCATCCTTACCCGGAATATGTAAGGGACGGTTCTCTTGTCAGTGGATTTAAGCGCTATGAAAGCGATGCTGTCATACAAAGAAGTGTGGCTGAGTACGCAAGGGCCGAAGATAGCATTTTCCGGGATATCGCAGGTGGTGTAAACGCTGGTGAAAATATCCGTCAAACATTGCTGGACTGCCTTGGCGTCTCCGTCCCATATACCCCTTTGAACGCCGGCGTCCTCCATCACTACAGGCGGAGAGAACAGGGGAAGGAGACGCGTTACATAACTTGTACTGGAGGCATGGGTTTTTTTTAATACAAAGTAAGAGTGTCATTGATTTTAGGGGAAAGTAAGGATGACAAACGTTCTACTTAATCGCGACTCCTAATTAATAATGTGAAAGCACCGGCAAGCCGCTCTCATCTGTGCAATATTTACAAAGTAAAGGTGTATTTAAATTAATGAAAGGAGGGGTTCGCGGAAGCTGTCGCGATGATTTATTTACGAGGAGACCCTAATCACCGGAACACAGAAGAGGTAGCTCTGTGCATTAGCCATACACGCGGAGGGGGCGGGGTGAGGGGGGAATCGGCATATTGATCCTCTAAAGCTAAAGCAACTTGGAGGAGTTGCACAAAAAGAAAAGCAGCTCAGGAGCTTCCATCCCAGCAGGATTCTGTAGAGCTGATGTGCTGGGTTTTTTCTTCTTCTAAAGAGAGGGCCAGTGCTCTGTTGCATGGTGTGACAGAAGAGCATAGCGAATGGATTTCAAGTGGACTGTCAATGTCACTGATTTCATGTCGGCTAACCTTTAGCTCTAGTCTACAAGAGGGAACGTATGTCTGCTCATTATCATAATCCACCACTTTCCCTCCGAGACTTTAATTAAAAGCAGCAAGCAGAGGTAATTATTTTTACCTCGACACGCTTATTTATGGATGAGGGTGAATCCCAGTTACCTTGTTCTACAAGGGGAGAGATTCAGTCAAATGTGACTTGTGAAGTGTACAGGTACTGTGTCTGAGCATCCCAGTCTCTGCCTGTGAATACCATTTGTGTAACGAGTTGTGAATTCTGGTTTTCCCATCTCTGACATTCCTTCCCTAAAACGCGACTGTTCCAGGGGGAAGTCTCTAACGGTGGGGCGTCCAGTTTTAAATCATCCTCGGGTTGGCTTTTCCCCAAAAGTACCGAACCTCTCCACGCCGGTTTACAAAGCCGAGAGAGAGAGAGATGAATAGCTTTTAACTGGTTGAGAATTCTGCCTCCATTTACAAATAGCTGCTTTTTAAGGGGCATCGATCGATATTATTTGTTTCTCTTTTTTTAAAAAAAATTCTACCGGCAGATTGTACAAACCCCTTTTAAATGGCTTTCCCCACATATTTTAATAGATAACTGTGCCATCGAGTAACTTATTTCTTTAGAAGCCAGCGATGGAAGGGCCAGGAAATAGCGGATCCTAATTATTTATTGAAAACGGGTGATTATAGAATAATACTGTTACTGTCGCTTATTTAGCCTCCTGTGATTTATCATCCAATTAAGCGCTTCAATTCTAAAACTGATTTAAAAAAAAAAAAAAAAAACAACAGCCAGACCATGCCTCCAAAACTGGCATTTCCCAACCATTTGCCCTAATCCGTGTCACATTTGTCTCTCACACAGAGCGAATTTAAACCCTCAAACGTGCAACTTCATTGATTACTCTACGGTGGCGAAAGACACCCCCACCCCCTTACCCGTTTCAGAGCGGTTTTAAAAGAGCATCAAATAACCCATTGCTTCTAGGATTTTTTTTAACGTGCCTGTTTTCTCATCTCCTCTCATTCCCCTGCAGTTCAGTGTCATAGCCTCTCCCTCCCCCCGAGCTCCCTCCCTTGTTGGTTTATTTATTTAATGTCAAGTCCCTTTCCCACAAGCTTTTCATGGTAGTGGAGGTCGCAGCTCCAGTTGGAACGCAGTCATTTAAACGCAATTCTGTGTAACAATACTGGCAAACGCTCCTCGGGACCCGCGGTCTAACACCAAGAATAACCGCCCCCCACCCCCACGGGGACCACAGAGCTCTCTGCCTCGCTTCCCCCCTGTCGCCCCCACCGCTTAACAAAAACCAACCCCGTGGTCCTCTCTTTCTCCCTCGATCCCCTTCTCCAGAGCCAGGCGCACTCGCCAAAAGCAAAGCCACCTCCGAGTCATTGTCTCCCTGCACCGAGCGGAGCTCACTATTCAACCCCCATCTATTTCTGCTCAAAACTCCTTTTCTTTGTAGCGATCTGGCTGGCGGTGTATCGCCCCCCGTCTTTTTTACTGCTAGAAAATAAGCCGGGGGAGAAGAAAAGAAACCAAACCCGAGCTCTCCCCCCCACACACACCCCCGCATGCATATTTACTTACCAGGAATCAGGTCAGAATATAATCCCAAACGCCAGAAAAGCAGAAAGTGGCCAAGGCTGAGCAGCGCTCCGTGTTCCCCCCAGTGTCTGTGGTATCAGTGTATTTCCATGGCAGTGGGAGAGGGTCGGGCTGCTGTCCTGGGTGCTCTGGGCAAAGAGGTGGAAGGAGAGAGACAGAGAGAGAGACAGAGAGAGAGAGAGCGCGAGCAGGAGCCAGAGTTGTACAGATGGACCCGATGCAGTGACTGACTGGCAGACAGACGCGCACTTTTTGTTTGCTGCACAGAATCTGCCCAATGACGCGTGACAGCCCACGTCCCCTCCCTTTAACTCTTTCGTGGGCTCGGCGCTCTCCCTGCCTGTCTCCCCTCCCTCTCCCCTTCCTGCTCGCTACCTGCAGGTGCTGCCCCCCCCCCACCTTTTCCTTGGGATCCCAGAGCCCGATGCTTTGAGAGCATCCTCCTAACGCGCTTTTTGCGGCCTACGGATAAAAGGGGAACCTTTTATTTTAAAGGGGTGGCATGAAAAGCCCTGCATCAGGCTTTTTTTTAAAATTTATGGTGACTTCTGTATGTGTGGGCAACACGAATTTCTAGCCAAACGGCAGCCTGGATCTCAGAAGAAGAAGGCCCATTCCCAGTGTAAGTCTCCTCTTCGAGGCTTTCACCGTGAGACTGCGCTCCCCTTACAGATGCTGATCCTGGTGGGGGCAAACGCCTCCATACTTGCTTTGATTAAGGGGAAGAATGTAAGCCCCTTCCTCAGTCAGCAGGTATCACTCTGCAGCTGTTAACTAGGCTAGGACGGAGTTTAACAGCAGGTTGGGTTGGGTGAGGGTGTATTTGGATCCGCCCGTGTTACTGTAGCCATTTTTATTTCATTGCTAAAACCCCCAGCGTATAAGAAATGATCCTGGCCCAAGAGCCACGCGTCTAGATGCACACAATCCATTTGCTCTGAAGATAGTCTTCACCTGTTTGCAAGTATCTCGCTGCATTTACAATCCACTCCCTGGCTTTGGGCCCCGGGTACACTTGCAGAATTTTTTCTCCTCTTGTTTATTCAGCAAAGATCCCTTTCTGGGGAGTTATCCTCTGGATCGTTAAAGCCCTGTGTGGAATTCCACCAACTATTAAACTTTGGGATCTAAAACGAGCGAGACAGGACTCTGACTTTCGGAAATGTTACTTTTCAGCCAACGGGGTTTGGTCTTACAATGCAAGGAACAGCCTTGGCGCTGACTTGGCTTGCAAGTGTCTTTCCAGGTGATAGGCAATTCTGTTGTCTATTGCTGTTGTTTTTTCTTTAATTTTAGAAACCAAAAGCACCTCTTGCTCACAATAAGATGGGCTTGGCATTCAGTTTCCTCCAGCGTGAATTTACTCAGGGTCCTTCCCCTGGGAGACTCTCTCTTCTGATGCAAAGAGACCATGAAAGCTATATGTAATGTTTTTCTAAAATGAAATATAATAAATTTTCCCCCGTTTCGTCTGGGATATTTGGATGCTTCCTCGCTGCTTGGAACCTTTCTTCTTTAGCCCCGGAATAAACAAGTGGCTTTCCTCTGAATAAACACATTTTAGCAGTAAGGAATAGCAAGGGGGGGCGGTGTTAGACCAGGCTCTGCACATCCGGAGGGGGTCTGAAAAGTTATGAGGAGAGGGTAGTGATAGCAATGGGGGGGTGGGGGGTGTTCCTCTTCTGGCTTTATAGCAGTGTCGGAAGTTGACGCCTCAGGGTCTCCTTGGGTCACCTCAGGAAGGGGTTCTGCCCCGCTTGGGGCTCGCAGTGTGGCCGAGAACGCAGAAAAAGAAGGGACCAGGACAACTCCTCACCCACTGACCTGCGCCTCCCTGCATCCCTCGCAGCAGCGCAGGGAGAGCAGGATGGTTCTGATGGGACAGCGCCCTGCTTTGTCACTGACCTCTCAGCACTGGGGCGAGGAGACTCCCTGAGCTCTCTCTCACAAGGCTTTGTCCCGTCGGGAAACCAACCCAGATCCGCTTGGTACGACGCAGCCATAGGTGAAAGCCCCTGGGGGAAGTTAGAGAGAGAGAGAGAATGAAATTAGACTGCTTAACATGGACTGCTTTTCCCTCCCCCCTTCTCTCCCTTCAGGACCCCTTTAGACCATTACCTTTGGTGATAATGTGCCTCGCCTGGAATAGACTCCCTGAGGGACTCTCGTCCAGACACACTACATCCACTAGGTTCTGGTTGTGTTTAGCGGCCCCTCCTCTGACTAGTGACACCTAACTCTCCTGTCTTGGGTTATTCCCCACCCCCCTAATACAAAAGAACCCTGGAGAAGGGGGACCCGTAAAGCCTCATAAAGCCCCATCCAATAAGCCACTTTAAAATGAGAAGGGGAAAATCCACACAAAAAGGACCAGGCAGAACTAAAGCAAACTTGAAGGGCAACCGCAAGCCCCTGCTCCCTGCTCTAGGGTGAGACGGGGAAGGGAGGGTGCTTGAGGCGGGGTGGCCGCAGCAGCGAGAGGAATGGCCCTAGGTGTGAGCGGCTCGAGGCGAGGAACGGATTCCGCAGGGAACCGCAGTCCATAGAAAAGGCACCAGGGGCTGCTTTCAAACGCCACCGACCCATATTGACGTTTAAAGGCGAGGCTCGGACCTTAGCCAGCGGTTGTGGAGGCTGAGCCGTCCGGTGAAGCAGCCCGCCCTTTCACTGCCTAACCACTCTTGGGGGTCACATTATTGCTCTCCTTTCAGAAGCGGGTACAAACCCTTAACCCGTTGGCGAGTTTGCCTTTGTCAAAGCTTTGGGAAAAGTTCCCAATAAGTTTTGCATTTTCACGTGTAAAGAAAAAGTCCTTCTGCATGGCCACTATACAGGTGGCTCCTTCAGAACAAAAACGGGCTGTTTACCAGTTCCTCACCGATCTCCATCCTTCCCAACACAGCGTAGATGAAAAGAAAGAGAGAAAAACACAGAGCGTTTCACAGGGGTGAATAGAAAGAGTTGCAATCAGGGAGTTGGATAATGGTTGGATAATGGTTTCAAATTCACTTATCCTCCCCACAATTACGATTTTTCTGACATTAGGATTAAAGGCTGCATATAACATGCTTTCAACATTTATCTTATTAATTCCACAAAACCCTTCCTCTCCTGGACCAGAGATTGACATAACATTAAAATTATGGGAGTAAACCCAATTTAGGCATTAATTCCTGCCTCTAAGATTTTTGTCCTGTGTTTTAAATGATGCTGTTCTTGCTTTGTTTGTTCTTGTTCTTGCTTGCTAAATTGTCCAAATGACCGTCATTAAGAGGGGAAAGAGAAAATGTACACGTTTTTATTTGCGAGAATTTTAAGGGACCTCACGGTGCATAAACTAGTTTGAAATTGCTTCGACAGTATGAGTTACTGAAATTCCCTGACACTAAAGGGGGTTGGTAAGAGATCTGTGTGCATTTATCCAGCTTCGAATGCGACTGTAAAAGTGAAGCCCCGTCCACAGCTTCATCTAAGCCTCACAGAATAATAGTTGTATACCCATAACCGGTCCCTTTTGAAGTTTGTGTTTTCCATTAAAACATTAAAAACAAAGCCAGTCCCCTTTCCCTAACCCCCTCGGTCCCCCCCCCCCCAAAACACTGTGCCTTTAGTTTTGTACACTATTTGGTACATTAGTCCAGAAAAAAGCCAAAATTAAGATTTTGATTTTTTTTATTTAAGAGATGGCTATTTTTCTAAACTAGATGGAAAGAAGCTTCAAGATTACTGAGGTGGGGGAGCGCGCCTATGTTTCGTAGCAAAACTCCTAATGATTTCAATGGAAGCAGGATCGGGCCCAATTGCATAAGTGGGAGAAATTTGATCCAACCAAAATCATATGAGAGGTTAAATTCCCTTCGCACATCTTGCCATAGGGCATAACTTAAGTGTTACTATGAAGCTCAGCAGGTGAATTTTAAGTCCTAGTCAGTCATACAGACGGTGGGAGAGATCCTGTATTATTTACTGCAGCAAGTTTCTCATAAAGTCTAAATATGGCCTGCAAAAATTGGGTGGAGAAATTGCAGACACCCACTGTGAAGAATCATCAACATATAAAATGAACCAGGGCCTCTCAAGTAACATGCTAGAAAGATCTCTTTTAAAAGAAAGTTTGAATCCAGCATCTCAAATGAAACAGCACACAAGCAAAAATATGGAAATGCCTCATTTACAGAAACACTTTTTAGTCGAGCTCCCCTTGGTCACCAAGCTCAGTTTATTTCAGACTTTGTAATTAGCACCAGGCTAGTATGTATGGCAAAACATACGAGTTGCATAAAAGCAGACATGATTTTTAGTCTACAGAAGCAACTTGGTTTTCTTAGAGAAGAGATCTAAGATGACGCTACCCTGAAAGCTTCTTTTAAAGGGGTGGAGTAAAAATGAACGACATAGATTGTCCCTGCAAGGACAAATTTTATTCACTTTACTCAGTCGAGTAATCCCTGAGAATGTAGGTAGCCGAATTTGGCCTTATGTTAAATAGACATTAGTGAAATAAGAAGAAGATTCTCAAAACAGTATTGTAAGTATTATGCTGCGACTCAGGTGAGAGCAATTACAACTTGTATTGACAAAGAACTGTATTGACAATGCAGGGGGATCACCTCCATTTTAAAAAAGGTAGGTAAAGAATCCCACGTGTATATACAAAAATCAGCGTTTAGATTTTCACAGTACAAATTCTTTGCTGTGAATTGTCTTCAAATGTTCTCATTTTAGCAGCATTCAAGGCAACCCAGCTCTAGTCTGGCTGTGTGTTGAGTAGGTAATCATCGCTGAGTCTACGTACGACTCTGACACTGAAAAGGCTACATTCAATAGCCTGTGTTTTAATCTACTGCCACAGAAGAAGAGCTTTTACGGAGCCTATTAGGGAGTGGGAGGCTCCATAAGGCCCTATAGTAAAACCGGGACAGCTAGAATAGGTCAAATCAAAAGTAGTTTTAGTGTAGTTCAGTTGTAAATCTATACTCATGACTTCAAATGCATGCAGCTTATACTGTACACACGTATGCGTGCAGAGGACATACCTAAATCTATGTGTGCATGTCTGGGTCGGAGTGACTATATTCAGGTAATCTGGTGCATTTCAGTAACAGCTTTCAAGGAAACACTCTGAAACGTCCGGTTTATCCTGCTGTACTCTACACCAAGAGTTGATTATCTTTGTTTCCGCAGTTAGGCGGTCATGAGAAAATGATCAGGGGAAGGTCATCAGTTCAGAACACTGAAAAGCAACCCCATCACAACGAATGGTGAGTAAGCATCACTCCTGCTAGAAATTGTCGGGGCTCCTGTGAGTAAGGCTTACTGGTGTTTTTAAGGCCCGGCTTGACAGAGCCCTGGCTGGGATGATTTAGTTGGGGATTGGTCCTGCTTTGAGCAGGGGGTTGGACTAGATGACCAACCCGAGTCTTCTGTGATTCAAACCAAGCCCTTCCCAAATTCCTCACTGTAAAATGGCCCGCTGCGAGGGGTAGATATTGAAGAGGGTAAGGAGAAGCACTAAAGGAGGATGAAATGTTTGAATAAGAAAACGGTAGTATCCTTTTAAATGAACAGTATGCCAAGCTTTTTATACTCAGCATATTAAGATGTAAACTACAGAAGCACTGGCTACTTAAACTGATGGTTTAGGTTACATGACTGGGAATCAGTGTCTTTTTGTAGTGGACTGGCGCAACAACAATCATTCATAAATATTTACCTGGGGCTGATCCTGCAGTCCCTACACAGATGAAAGTCCCACTCGTAAAGAGTAGTATCAATAGCACATTTCATCGCATAATCTTGTTTCGGGACCTTAGGAATGTAGGTAGGTAGGTAGCATTGTCGCCATTTTACAAAGGGGGAAACTGAGTCACGGAGAGACATCATGTGACTTGAACAAGCTCACTCAGCAAGGCAATAGCCGTGGCAGAGCAGAAAAACAACGCAAGTCTATTGACTCCCAGTCCCCTGCATTAACCACCAAACCACACTGCTCAGAAAAGTTTTCCCTTCCACGGTGTTTTTTCTATGCTCACCAAGGGATCTGAGGAATGAAGTAAAAGGGGATGTTGGTGTCTAATAAAAAACACCTTGTGTGCGTTTGCAGTGGAAATTGATTTTGGTTAATTGTAAAGATGACTTTGGGTTCTTTGAAGTGCTCTTCTAAGTCCAGGTAGTGATAAGGGTAAGATTTACACAGATGACCTGGAATCAGTTAAAAACACGTTGACGAGATTCGTCAAAAATACAAATGAAGAAGATCTGAAAACCACCCCCACAAATAACACAATCTTTGCTAAAGCTGAGAAGAGATAGAGAGGCTCATTTGACCCCTGATGTTTTAGAAAGAGTCAAGAAACTCCACATTGGCATAGTCTAAATTCTAATAAATTAGCTTATACTGCACAGAAACTATAGTCCCCCAGGTATGTTTCGGGGATGGGGAATGGTCAGGTGTGGGTACTGGCGTGGTAGTCCTTTTGGGTTTGTCTAGACTAATTTGTGGGCCTGTTTATACTCGAATTAATTGAGTGCTAATTAACTCGAATTAACTAACAAACGTCTTGATGAGTCCGTGAAGTGGAAGTGCTGATTCGATAGCTAAAAAGTACACCGCTGTGGTCAGTTTCATGGACCTCCCCTAGTCAAAGAGACCCGTCTCCATTAGAACCTGTCCTCCTGCAATGTGAGGCCAGTATTGTTTTACCTTGGTGCTCACCCACCTTCCAAAATATCTGAGTGCTATAAAGATGCGCGGGCGCACACACACACACAGAGTATGTGTATTATTCAGATTTGTCCACACGTGGGAAGAATCAAGATGCGGAATATATATTACTTAATATTGAAAGAAATGTGGGTGTGTCCATATAAACGCTCCCCCTCGGATTGATTTCAGGCTCATGTTATTTTAGTCCGAAGGTAGGTAAAAGAGTGGGCGGTAAGCGGAATGAGCTGCGAAGTAGCAGTGAGAACAGAATGCTGGAACAGGTCTATGCTCTTCCTTCACTGTCTCCCTCTCTCGCCACAAATGGGGGGATGTACAGAACCAGCGAGACATTTGCACTCGCGCCTCCAAGGGAGACTTCAACCACTACCTCACTGAGGTTCAGGCGTCACAGTTTGTGCGTGAGGCGACGAAGGTGAGAGCCCCACTATCTGTGGAGATTTGCAAGTCAAAGCCAGCGTGAAGAGCATCCTTCACCCGATCGTATTCTTAGCTACAGTTAGGGAGAAATCAGCGTTCTGTTGCTATTATTGGAAGCCTCAAGCTTGCATTCAGGATTGCCTTCTTCAGCTAGGGAATCAGTCATGTGACTATTTTTCACACCACATGAAAAATGTGCCATTCACAAGAAAGAGAATTTGGGTTTTTTTTTTTTTACAGTAGCCAATGTCAAATAGCCAGCCCCTTATTCTGATTGGCTGAAATTTAGGTTTTGATGGGATTTTGGGAATCTCAGTTCCTAATCAGCTAGTTGGCATGAGTGTTTTAGTTCCCACTCCGGCTGATTTATTGCCCTTTGTCCCTATAAAGTACTAATCGATAGACCCCCAGCTTTTAAGGAAGCAGGAAAAAGTCCCACGCTACATATTGTCTCAGTTGTTACTGTAATGATCACACAAGCCACTTCTCAGCTCCTTTGCTGGGCAAGCTATCTCCTTCCTTTTGTCAGATCACGTGTTGTTCCCTATATGTGCGATTCCCTACCCCTGGCATCTCAGTGACAGCCTGAATGCAAAGCTAAATCCGAATGGAAACTCTATGCCGGGTTTTCAAGATTTGGGAAGTTCTATCTGGCACATTTACAGCGAGAAACTCCCGTCAAAGATTAGAACAAGTGAAGGATGGTATTCAGATAACCCAGTAAGGCTTTTGATCCTGCTTGTTTGACTCATAATTAATGTTAAATCTTCGCGGGAGGGGGAGGGTATTCCTAAATCGTGGGGACACTGGTAGGATATTTAATAATAAATTCAAACGACAATTGGGCAATAAAGTGGAACTAAACGGGACTGATTTGCTAAATAATATAGCTGGGAGCAAAAGAACAGCGACAGGGCACTGGATTGCTGAAATGAGCACATTATTATTAATGACTAATTGTCATATGCATTAAACTTTATTTAATATCATATCAGGCACTGGTATGGGAAATGGACAATATGTGTCTATAGGGAGTAAATACACACATCCACATCAATACACATAAACATACATTCATATATATATATATATATACAGTAATTAATAGAAAATGAAATCATAATAATAGGGTGTGTTCTTACTCATAGGAAGGAAAAAGTAGTTGAAATAGGTAAAAGAGGAATTATCAGGAGCTTCCCTAAGATTTTGCTCTGCCATATTAGAGGCAGAGCAGAAAAATAAGTCTGTGTAAAGTGAAATGGATTATTTTCTCGAATGTAGTTTGTCCACCTAAAAATTACTTATCCTTTAAAAAAGTCACATTCAATTAAAGATTTTTCTTCAATGTAAAGTTACCACGGGGATGAGTATGATAGGCAAGCTAGATAGATAGGCAGGTAATCCATCCTTAGCCATGTCAAATAATGCTCCCCCACCCCCAGATTCGTTAGAATCAGATCAATTTACTGCATACAAACTTGTAGTACAAAGTTCTTTCTTCATAGATTAATAGATTTTAAAGTCAGAAGGGACCACTATGATCACCTATTCTGATCTCCTGCATAACATAGGCTATGGAATTTCTCCCATTTATTCCTGCATTCCCAGTTGAGATAGGGCATATCTTTCAGACCTGGTCCTGAAAGGCCTTCTCTGCTCCACCTATATTTCAGGAAGGAGGTGGAAAAGATGCTTTTGATTCCCCACTTCCAAATGGTAAATGCTGCCTCAAATCTTGCTGCTTCTCTTTTCATTGGGGTGAGAATAACGGAGGCCTGAGGAAGTATCCTTTTCCAAAATATGCACCCATCAATCATGTCTATGCATTTTTATAACGAATTACACTAATCAAATAAAAATAACCACTGGGAAAAGTCTAAACCCAGAGAAGAAACTCACCTCAACCATACCTTTTACTTATACTAGGCCTGAGGGAACATATAAGCTTTTCAGGGTTTGTTGGAAGTACATAGGAAGGAAGCTCTAGATCAAGGCCCTGCCACTTGGTTATGTCCTGCCTTCATCTGCTATCATTCAAATCTGGGGACTTTTAGGTAGGGTAGCTCAGCTGATCTCAAATACTGCAGAGGGCTAAGGAAATAGGCGGTATCTAAAATAACCAGGACACAAACAATATAAGGCTTTATCAAGTAAAATCAAGTGAAGTGAATCCAGAAACAAATTGGTTGCCAGAGCAGTTTATGGAACACAGGTGTAACGTGATCCACACGTCACACCCCGCTAAGTAAATGGACTGTTTCATTCCGCTGCAGCTGAAGTTTCTGAATGCTCCTTGAGGGAATCTCCATGGAGAAGAAATTACAGCAGCATCTAATTTGGAGGTACAATAGACATGGATAACTTTATTTGGTCACAACCTCTTGGATACAGTGGGAAACGACTCTTCAGGCTTTTGGTGCTACCTGAGAAACCCAGAAGCAACCAGAAGTTCAAAAGGACTCGTAGAATTTAGAACCACCAACCCCTATAATAGAGGAATCAGACCTTACATGTTCCATTTCTTCTGGATGTTTCCCCTCACCCGATTGGCATCACATCCATCTTGTTTTGAGTTTTGCCTCAGGCATCTCAGTCTCATCTAAATCCCTGTCTTAGTTAAGCACTGGGTAAGCAAACATGCTCCACTGTCCAGCTCTTATAAAAATGAGATGGAGAGAGCAGTTCATCAAAATCCTCATAACACCGTAGCCAAACCCTTTCAGTCTGTCTGACAGCAGTCTCGTGTATACTTCTCTGTTTCATGGGAGTGGGAAGCATGTCTGAGAGATGTAGGTGTCCCACAGAGAAGCGAGCGGTGTCCTTGATGTCTGCTTTAATGGGGGTGGTTTGGATGATGGCTAAGGCATTGACATGGTATCCCAGATGTCTTATCAAAGGAAGAGATCTCTTGTTTAGATTGGTGTCTCACAGTGGGGGGAATAGTCTTTCTCAAAGGCATGGTCATCACTTGGGGGAGTGCATAAAGTTGAGGTAAGTATCTCAGGGACAGAGTACACGGTAGATGAGCCCATAAAATGGATGGGTACATCTTGGAAGAAAGTGACTTGAGACAAAATACCACACAGTCCTCCATGTATTTGTTAAGTACTTATAGCCGTGCATCACCTGGGCCTTAGGGAAACATTACCAGTAAGCAAGTGGCCATTTAAATATCCCCCAGTATATTGATAAGCACTTCACCAACATGTGTGTAGAGGAATTATTTCAGTGAACAAACACTTACTGACCAGTTCCACACACAGTTATGGACATGTTTTAAGTAGTACCTCCAATGCTTTTCTTGAATTTGATGCCTTGCTGAAGGACTAGTCCCACTACACAGTCTCCTCACCCTTTTCTCAACTCAACTCCAAGACAAGTCCCACATTTCCATTCCTTTTATATTTCCCTTCCCCGCATTAGCCACCATTCTGCTATATAGGTCAATGATATTTGGAAAGATTTCCCAAATTTTCATTTGAAAAACCATGACTCTAAAGTTTACTCTCCACAGACTCAGACTTTTGCTATAACTCACTCCCACAAAGATAAAACAATCTCTGTCCCAACAACAAAAACCTAAGGCACCTTAGATACCTCATACAGGTTTATTAAAGCCCTCTCTACTCCAATGTACAGAAAATTACAGAGAAAGATCCAAACCATAGGCACCTTCTCCTTTCCTCTCTGCTATTTCTCCAGCCCCCAACTGCACTTGACCTTCCGATGAAACGCTTCCAGCATGCTTCAGACTTGAGAAAAGCTTAGCAAGTGCTCAGGAACTATTTAGATCTACAAAAATGTATATTCTCCAAAGCATTCAATAAATAATTGCGACATGACTGGAAAATGCGTTTACCAAACATTTATTAATTGTGATCTTAAAAGGATTGGGGGAAAATGTCAGACTGAGATTTTCAGAAGTGATTTATTATTCTGGGTGTGGAACAGTTTGAATTTTCAGCAAATGCTAAACATCTGCCTTCTGAAAATCAAGTACCTTTAACGTGTGTCAAAAATGGCTACCAAAATTTAAGGAATCCAAAATCACTAGTTTTCTTTTGAAAATCTGTTCCTAGGATGTTTACCTGGTAGAAATGCTAAGGACAGTTTGAGAAATGTGAAAAAAAAAAATCCGTGGCTTGTTAATTGCTTTAAAAATGCTAAACAAGAATTTATATTTTGATATGGGGAATGCCTCCACAATGGAGTAGTATGTGAGGTAATGAGTGTGGGAGGAGTTGAAGGGGAAGTGCCTCTAAGGCCAGAGTCTATGCTAAATCCTGCTGTGTCTAAAGGTCCATCTGCCCTAGAAACACAATGACCTCAAAGGCCCTGGTTACATCATCGCCAATCATTGCTAAAAGCATGTAATATAGATGGGACCTTTACCATGACCAAGGACCATGTTCCTTCACTGTCTTTTGTGCAATTTGGGGACACAGGTAATGTCTTCAGTGCTTAGATACAAGTGATGAGCATGTAGAAACAGTAAAACAATAGATAGATAGATTAAATAGAGGGGGTATATGGAGATAGATAGATAGGTAGATAGGTAGATAAAAGAAATTGAGTCATGCTTTAAGGATGTAAGTACCTAGCTGTGTGTAGTCAGAACACTGAGAGAGCTGTGTCGGTCAGAAGCACTGGGCTTTGGTCTAAATTTGGTCCCATTGAAGATGACAGTAAAACTCCCATTGACTCCAGCGGGAGCAGAGTGAGACCAACGCTGAGTTCTTTTGAAAATCTCGCCCATAGTGTAGGTGTGTTCTACATCCAGGGAGGGGAGGCCACCAGCAGCCTGACCCAAAAGTCTCCTTGAGCAAAGCCTGGTGGCCACCCTGCATTGCGTGGCTTATTAGGATGCCACCATCAGAATCTCCCAGCGTGGATTTATAACCGTGTAATCTTCAGGTCCGCATCCCAGCCCACCTAGGGGATCAGCTTGAATTCTGAACATATTTTGATCCACCATTATGACACCACAGCCTGTTAGCTAGCAATTAACTTTCCCTCCCACCACAGCCTTAAGAGCTGATGCAGCTGCTTCAGTGAGTGAGAATTCCTGAAGTTTTCAGGCGTTTGCTCAACTTTGGGAGAAAAGACGGGGGGAGGGGAAAGATGCGGGGTTTTCCAGCCCTGGCTTTGCTAGAGCAAGTTGACACAGGGTGTGAAGGAGCCTGAAACGTAAAGAGATTTATTTTCTCTAGTCATAAATCTCATCCCGTTGTGCCTCTGACCAACCAAGCATGATAAAGTCCTTTTCCATAAAGTATTCAGTATTAAAGCCACAAAGCTCACCCAATCAGTAGCCATCTGCTTCTACCATAACTGCTGCTCCAGAAGCAGGGAAAAGCAGCCAGGAAAGAAAAGGCACCAGTGTTAGGGCTCCGGGACAAATGAGGAGGCGCTGAATAGCAGTTGAAACCTTTAGTTTGCCTTGTGTATCTGTATCTATAGAGACAGAGAAAGAAAGGAAGCATTATATTGATACAACAATTGTAAAACAAAAAAAGGAAGAGGCATCTAAAGGGCAATATAGCATGCATCAGAGGGCCCCACACAAAAGGGGTGCTAACAGATTTATAGAAACCTTTAATTGGTTTTCAATTGAAACATACAGAGGGTGAGGGGAACCTGTGAAGAGTGGCGAAATGTCCTGCATTCGTCTTCTGTATAAGTGAACGATTTAATGTGGCCAAATAATTTTAACGGGTCCCCCCTCTACGCCCCCCAAAGCGGCCCTGACTGATTGAGAACGCTTTTCCTCCTTGATTGCCCAAAATAGCCAAACTCCAGCAGAAAAACCGCTTTCAACTTGATCACCAGCTGATTTACAATGAAGATTGTTTTTATTTTTTTTTTAAAAGGAAGTTTAATCAGGGTCCAGAGAATTGCTAAAAGTGGCTCCCCGTATTTTGACTGGAGAAATGCATACTGCGTTAGTGGCAATTGTCAAAAAGGAGAGAGGAACAATGTGCAGTTCCCTGAGATACACACTCACCCTGGTTGGTTTAATAATGCGACCCCGGCACAGTATTAATCTGATGCCAACAATTAACGGTGACAATGTTGTTTAACTCAGTTCTGCCCTTCGTAGCAAGCAAGTACATGAGACTCCCCAGCTTCTTGCAGAATTCTGGACGCTAGTTCCCTCCATCTAGTCATCTGTTATTTCGACCTTCCATTATCTTCGTTGGTACCCTAATTAATAAAAATCAAAGGCAATGGTGCATATTACGATTATGAGAGAATAGAAGACGGTTTTGAATAAAGCCGTAGACGTGTGTGTGTGCTGGGAGGGCGGGGTGGGGTGGGGGGAGAGATTCATTTAACAACACGATGGAGAAATCTCAAGCAGTGCGCTAACCAGCCCTTCGTTGGGCAAATCCCAACTCGTTGGGATTACACGGGCCAGTTTGTTTCACCTACTGGGCAACCCAGAATCGCCCGTGCAACCATTCAGCCAAACACCGTGTCAAGCGCCGAATTAGGTCACTTCACTCAGAAGGCTTTGGAAAATGATCAGCTAAATGAAAACAAGTCGTGCCCGCGGCACCATGTTTAGTCAGGAGCGACCCCTCCCCAGCACGCATCCTCCACTCCCAGGTAATTACAGGATTAATGATTGTGTTATCTGATTCCATAACAGAACTGTGTTTGGTTGAAATACACATCATATTACGTTAATGGCCTCTCACCGCGCTCCCCCCGTGTTTGCAGCTGAGCATTTCTCTAACCAGGCTAAAATCAGACTGAAAAGACCCCAGTCACATCAAAGGTAGTAGGTCAGAAATGGCATTTGTCCGTGTAAGGGATTAATAGAGGCATTGTATAATGCTGCTTTTCAGAATTACTCTCGGGATTAAGAGGCAGATATGGCAAGGGGACATATTTTGTATTCACTATCCATTTTGATTAATGTTTACTGGAGGATTTGGGGGAGAATACTTACTGAACTGGCCCTGGTACTTGGGTGAAAGCAGCGCAAGGAAAGTTTTATTTATTTTTAGCTGAGCCCTGTTAGGGCTGGACAGTAAGTGGAGTGGGAATCCAGCGACTGATAGGAGAAAGAATACTCTCCCTGGTCCGATCTGCGGTGCTTTCCCTCTTAATTAACGTGGGACTTTCCAAAAGTTGCATTCAAACACTGGGATGGAGAATAAAAGGGGGAAGCGTTCACTTGAAATAGGAGAGGCACACGGGGAGACAACTTCTCTGGGAGTGCTGCTTTGTGCATGTGTGTGTGTCTTGTCGCCATCTCAGATTGCCCTCAGTAACAAACCCTTCATGCCCACGTACCTTTCCCCCAGGGTTTCCGCCCAGGGGCTAGCAAGACTATTTTCAGCAGAGGATCTCCACTGCCTTTTGGAATTGAGCTCCACACCCAAAGCAAGAACAACCGCAAACCTATGGCAGGCCTACTAGAAAGAATCCCCTAGATGTAACCTCTTCTCCTCTGGCTCTCAGTACCGGTCTCTCGTCCGCACTGAGGTCCGGATGGAACGGACTGAGCCCAATCGCGAAGGAGAGCGGAGTGCATGGCACACGTGTCTTCATTCGCAGCCCCATTGTGGCTGGAAGCCCAAGTCCGTTCGGAGGAGAGAGAAGGGACCGGGGGAAGGAGGGGGAGATGCTTCTCCTATTAGGTCATCTGGTCCACCCGCTTGCCAAGGCAGGAGTGTTGTCTCCTCGATAATGTCTAAAGAAAGCTGGAGGAATATAATGAAAGAGAGAGGGGGGGTGTGTGTGCAGGAGAAAGAAAGAAAGAAAGGAAGGAAGGAGGGAGTGGAGAAGGAGGAGAGCCGCCCTGGTGCTGCAGGGGGAGCCGGGGAGCCAGGGACCCCAGCCTCTCTCGGGACGCTCTGAAGGGAGGAGGGAAGCGGATCCCCCCGCTATCTGCCCATCCCTGGAGCGGGCAGAGGCGTCAGCCCGCAGCGCCGCGAGCCCTGCCGCCACCACCGCCCTCCCCGGCAGATGTCCCCGCTTACCTCGCGCGCCGCCGCCCGCTCCCGGGGCGGGGACCCGGCTCCTGCCCCCGCAGCCGGGCAGGGCGCTCGGGGGCCGGGGCTGCGGGTGGAGCCGCCATCCGGAGCCGCCTGGTCCGCAGGGAAGGACGGGATGGGCAGGAGCCGGAGGGAGGCCGGGGCGAGACTGGACAAGGAGCCGGGGCTTGGGTGGGGGGTGGTGGGGAGACGCGCCCAGGTCCCCTCTACGGTGCGAGCTGGGCGAGCTCAGGGAGCGGATGGCGAGCGGGGAACCGGGCCAGCCCTGCTGGCCACGGGGAGCTGGAGGGGCAAGCCTCCGCCTAAAACAACTGCCCGGCTTGGGGCCAGTTTTCTCCCCCTCGAAGAGCAGGAGCAAAGCAAAGCAGAGCGAGCCCAGCCTCCCTGTGCGGAGGAGAACAGAGAGGCACAAAAAGTTGGACGTTGTAGCTTTTCAGTTGCCTCTTGTCTGCCCCTGTTATTCCCACATCGATCTCTCGCCCTCCTCCCCCCAAGCGTAACACACTATCTCCACAACAGTCAAAGCGTCTGGGAGCACAACTGGACTCTTCGGTGCAATGCAACTTTCCTCTCCTTTAGCCTCTGCAGCATAAATGTTCCCTGTTTCCGATGGAGGGCAGAAGAGGAAAGACCAAACAGAAAAGGCTGCCAAGGGGGGATGATTTATGCATAGCAGCACACTTGGCTTCCAGTGTATTTTGGAAATTTCTTTTATAGTTCCACACTCAATGATTTTGCTAATGTTCTTTTGTTTAGACCGAAAGCTGAGACCTACCTGATTAACGTGGGAACCTATAAATTAAGCAGAGCCAGTTGTAGTGTGGTGCTAAGGCATCTGAAGAACCAGCTGGAGTTAGTACTGGAGGTTAAAAGAAAAAAAGACTTCTCCTTTGGCATAGGAGTGAAATCGACACCAAAATGATTTAGTCACAGATTTGATATATGGGCATGGGAAGGGGAAACCACCACTTTATTACCCTCCACTGCACAATTTCCTCCCTCCTGCAGAAATGTGAGCTAGATGTAATTTTATACCAAAGGCGATACAATGATACCATGGTTTTCCCAAGCAGTATTGTGTCCAGCAGCACTGTATTATGTAAAAGATCTGGCATAATGCTTAGAGGCACATCTGTTAGGTGTGGATGGCATTCATTAGCCAAGGCTTTCTACTAAATGACATGCCAAAGTCCTGACAGTAATGCCCAATGCCAATCTGCTGCTAGTCCAAAGGCAAGCCCAATCCAAGTATGACTTCTTTCCACACTGACACCAAAAATATAGGAAACAATAGGTTTAGATATCAGAGATGAAAGTGAAACTGCACGTGTGAAGCACCAAACAGTTGTATCAGAAAAGGAAATAAAGTTGCTAAGTGTCATTTAGTAATGCAGCATATGGGGGATATAAGGACAGTCCATGGTTGGGAAAGGAAAGGGTTAGCACCCTTCATAGTCACAGTACAAATATGTTAGTAGATAGTTTTGATGTCACACAACAGTAACAATAATCCTGATACTGGGTCTCATTCCCCATGAAGTCCGTGCCCCGACAATCAGCACTAAATGTAAGTGCAGAGAGCCTTCCAAAGAAATTGACTACTTCAGTCATATTGATATCTCCTTGTCACACCTCTATTTCTGACATTGGTATCCAGCATGTTTCCCAGTGTTTAGTGATTGTTGTTGTTGTTTAAAGGTAAGGAATTCAGTAAAGGAATACAGATATTTACAGACTTCATTACAACATAGTTGTACACTAAATTACATTTGCAGGACACAGTCCTTAGATTGTCCATGTGGCTAGATTTACTGGAATCAGATTAAATAAAATCGTTGGTCTGCTTAAAAAACCTTTGTTTGTTTGTTTTGCAAGTGCCATTGCTCAGACATCTAAGCGTGGATTATTGTCCACTTTACTATCGGAGGCTGCCTATTTCCCTCTTCTTTCAGAGACTGACTCAAAACTCCTTGATATCAACACGAGTCTTCCCATTGACTTTAGTGGGCTTAGAACTAGGCCCCTTGATCACTCACATTCCTTCTAGTTGTGGCAAATGACACTGATATGGGGGGTAAGATGTGTGGCTTCCTGTCCACATTCCTTCTTGGACATTAGTACTTGTTCTTGCTTACAGGATGGTTCTTCATAGTTTGGAAATAAAAACCAAGTGGAATTAAAGGAAGATGTTTTGCCTGTGAGCCCTCTTGACCACTGTGTCCAAAAGCTATGTGAGGGCCAAACCTAGTAGACCTCACAAATCCAGCATGGAAAATAAAAGTTTTGGGGAAGGAGCTGGGTCAGACTACAGGTCCATCTAATTTAGCATCCTGTCTCCAACAGTGGCCAGTACCAGCTACTCCAGAAACCCTGCAATCAGGTGCAAGAAACCCTGCAATCAGCAATTATGGGATAACTTACTCATAGAGAAAGTTCCTTTCTATCCTCCATCAGTTAGTGGTTGCCTTATGCCCTGAAGCAGAAGAGAGTTATATCCCTTCAGGTATTTTTTTTAATTCCTTGATAATTAATGTAATTCTAGATGTTCCTCGTATCCATATGTCTGTCCAACCCTTTTTGGAATCCTGCTGAACTATTGACCTCTACAATATCTTGATGTTCTCAGTGAGATCTCTAGAACCCTTGTTTGCATTCTGCAAACAGAGGCCCAGGACTGAGTGGGCATGGCGTCTGAACTCTCGTCTCACATCTAGTGGCTTGGGGAAGGGGGTTGGAGATGGGGGTAAAGTCGGCGGGGCAAAGGATGCTACTGACACACAGGCTTTCCCTGTTCTGTGAGTAGAGACAGTCTCCAGGACTATTAATATAGAAACTTTCAAAAGCTCTACACCCACTAAAAAGAATTAAGATATCCAACAACCAACTAATTGAAACAAGACATTGAAAAACCTGCCCCTATGACAGCCTCACAGCTGATGTGGTGAGCAACATGGGACTTGATATAGTAAGGTTGGAGCCTAGGTGAAGGACACAAGGTCTCTTTCATTAATGGTGTTTGGAAATTACAGTGACATCCACTTTAAGAGCCCTGTACACTGACAGAACTATGTAAAGTGGCTTTAGTGTAAGTGAGAACCTATAGAACAACAGTGGCTTGCTGTGCCAAGAGACTGTGACTTTAGGGATAGCCCGGAGATGGTGACTTTTCCTACCAAATATAGGCCTTGCTACAGTTATCCTTGCCTTTGTCATCTCCCATGTGGATCACGATATGCAACTTTCTGGGGGTAGTGGGTGTGAGGACATACAACCTGTGCCTTTCACACTCTGTGGGCTAACTTCCATTCGAGTTGCAATTCAAGGGGTTAATGACTAACTCTAAAGTCCTACATGCCCTACAACACGTTTATTTAAGAAACCACTTTGTTCCCTATGTCCTATTGTTACAGTTGTGATCCTCCCCAGCGACTTTGCTGACTATTCCTGGAACTCTGCTTTCTGATACCATCAGTGTAGCGTTCTCAGTTGTAGACCCCAGTCCTTGGAGTCTGCTGCTCTGACTGGCCTTTTCGGTTTTCTTGTCTAATCCAGATTTGCACTGAGCATGATTTCATTTCCGTTCTGTTCTGTTTTTGTCCTGCTTCTGGTTAGCTAGTTGTTCTAGATCAGGTAAGATTTTATAAATTGCAGATACTTTATGAGTTAGTTTTTAGCTCTTCATGTTTTCAATAATTATTGTGCTGCACTTAGGTATTTTCGTTCTAGGTGATATAAAATCAGCAAATAAAAAAGTACAAAGGCAATAGGGCCCATGACAGCTTAAGGACAGGAAATAAATGAAATAATAGATAGAGAAAGACTTAGGGTATGTCCATACTGGAAAAAAGATGACCGGGTCAACTGATTTGGGCTCATGGGGCTCAGACTGTGGGGCTAAAAATTGTTGTGTAGACATTCATGCTCAGGCTGGACCCTGGGCTTTAGGACTATCCCCCCTTGCAGGGGTCCAGAGCTCAGGCTCCAGCCTGGGCCTAAATGTCTATATAGCAATTTTATAGCTTCACAGCCCGAGCCCTGCAAGCCCAAGTCAGCTCACCTTGGGCCAGCTGGGAGTGTTTAATTGCTGTGTAGACTCACCCTTATTGGTTGTAAACCCAACCCTGTAAACCCTTATGTACAGACTTAACTTTAATATGTGAGATGTCCCATTGGCTTCAATGGACCTACTTTTGTGCTTAAAATTAAGCAAGTGTGCAGGGTTGGAGAAGAAAGATGGATGAATCAGAAGACTTGGGAAAGGAAATAGGGTGACAATCTTTGGACCAGAAGTTTCATTCCTCCCTACAAGATAATCAGTGATGAAAACCATCTTATTGCTCTTCTCTTCCTAAGGGCAACAATCTCTTCTCAGATGCTCATGGTCGTATATAGCTTTGGCATTCCGCTCTCTGCATGTGTGTGGAGCTCCCATAGACATTCGTTATGGAAATTATATTATAAATGGAGTTCTGTGCTTCTAATGAGAGCAGCATACCAAAGCTGAGAACTTCTTATAAGGATCTAAGAGGTGAATTTTGCCAATAATTACCTGACTTCTCTTTGG